CCAAATTTTCATCTCTCTCTAAAATTTCATTTGTTTCAAATATATCATATGTAACTACAGATTCATTAATGCTTTTATGTAATTCATTTTCACTTAGATTCTTATTGCGATACTGAATTTCTTTATCAGTATTGGAAATATAGTAGGAATGAATCTTTGTCATGGATTCAATTTTTGATAAAGTTAAACTTGTACGTCGTTCTTCCAAAAACCACTTGAGCATAGAAAAATTTCTTTCACAAACAGCTTGTGATAGAACAATAGAAAACAATAATAATGCCAACTCCTGTAATTGATCAGTTTCATTTTCTTGAACATTAATACTCAACTACCATTTTATTGGTGTTTCTCGAAAACTATTAAAACTAAGATCATAAGGTACAACTTTTCTTTTTCAAGATCTCATTTCCATTAAAAAATTGAGACATGATTCTTCACTATTATTTAAATCATACCATAAAATTGATGCAGTTTCATATATATTATTTAATGCCGACTGTTTTAATCCAAGAACTATAATTTAATATAATAAATTTTTGTATTTATTAAAAAAATTTTACCTCTATATAATGGATGAAGCCAATATGCCAAAATATTTATATTATTAATAAACTCTCCCAAACGACAATTATAATTAGAAATAATTATAGATTTCCATTGATTTCCAGATTGAATTTGATTAATTTTTGCATCAAGTTTTATCAATCCAATAAAACAATCAGCTAAATTTGCATTTCGTGCTTCAAGAATATTTGTTAATTCTTTTACTGGTTTGAGAATAGATGCTATTTGATAACAATTGAAATAAAATTCTTCATTTTGAAGTAAAGTAAATACAGTTTTATTTGTAATTACTTGAGGATGATTTTCTAAAATCTGAATAAAAAGAAATAAAGAATTTAAATATATAATATATTTATAAATATATAAATAACAAATTTAAAATAATTTTTTACCCAATTAAATACTAGTTTGGATCGTGTAATAGAATCAGCTGTAGTATATAGTATACCTCATCTTGTTTTACAATAAGATTGAATTTCACCTCCTTTAATTTTCATTACATTTAATTATTCTTTATAGTAACCATGAGCAGCATGTGAATTATTAAAAAATCCAATAATACTACCACAATTAGAAATAATTTTTTTTACAGAATCTATTTCAGCAAAATCTGAAGCAACTAAATTAATAGCATGTGCCATGCATCTTAAATTAAGAATAAAAAAATATTTTTCATGTATAATTCGTCGAGCAACCCTTAAATTTGCTCTATGATCAGTTACAACTGCTGCAAATTTTTCTATTCCAATGTTTTGCATTACCTTTTGAATTTCTTCTGCCATAAATGTACCAGTTTGTTTTTCTATATTATAATTTTTAAGTTTTATGAGATACTCTTTTCTTGTTGATGTAGTAATAATGTAATTATAAATTGAATCATGTCTTGATGAAGTTCATCCATCAAGACCTAATAATAGTAATAATTAATAAGATATAATTTAGAATTTAAATTATTATTATATTAATATTTGTTATAAAAATTAAAATAAAAACATCACAAGAATAATAAAATTAATTTATTTATTAAATATTAATAACACTTACTAATAGTGAGATTATTACTATATTCCAGATCATTTTCAATTTTTTTTTCAATTCGTATGGTTTCTTGATCTAATAATTTGCCAGAAAGAATACCACATGAAGGTAAAGTATATTCAGGAATAGCAATTCAAAATAAATCAATGATAAATGGGTTTTCAATTGTCTGAAATGGAAATTCACAACAAACCCATGCTTTAAGGAGTGCTTGGTCAATTTCATTTGATTTTGTAATAGGTATGGGAGTAATATGATCAAAATGTTTTGTAATTTGTGGTTGTTTTACATTTTGTGGATGAATATTTGAAGCTTCTTCTAATAAAACTTCTCACCAATATGTTTTAATTTCATCAGATACATGTTCACAATTTTTGGCCAAATGGATTTTCATATCTTTTGGTCATCCTCTTGGCCATTTCTCTTTATACCAATTGCATTCTGCTTCATAATTCCCTCTTCCTAAATCTATACCTTTTTTAAAATAATTCCAGATTTATCCTATTTTTTTATCTCCAGGATGTTTTCTTTTCTTTTGATTTGTACTATTTGCCATTATTTCTAATAAAGAATTATCTGATAAAGAATTATTTAAAGAATTATTTAATAAAGAATTATTTAAGGAATTATTTGATAAAGAATTATTTAAAGAATTATTTAAAGAATTATTTGATAAAGAATTATTTAAAGAATTATTTGATAAAGAATTATTTAAAGAATTAT